TCTGAAATTTCCGGCACACTTTTTGGAAATTTTTATCCAATTTCATTACCACTGAAATTTCAAGGAATTTTGTCATTGAAAATTCAGAATTTCGTGGAAAAATCAAAGAGAACTGTAAATTTCAGTTCCATTTTTCTATGAAAATGAATAAAAAATCATAAAATTCCAATAAATATATTCTTGAATTTTCAGGACAGTGACACACTGTTAGAAATTTTTTGAAATTTCAGTCACAGTTTCGTCTGGATTCTTAATGTTGTGCGTGTGAATTTAATTTCAAATGAAAGTATTCATAAAATTTCTCATTCATCTTGAAAATTCAAGAGAACTGAGTTTTTCATGTTCAGCGATCATTGATATTTCAATGAAAGCTTGAATTTTCAAACTCATTGTGAAAATAAAACATCAAATGTAATTGAATTTTTAACAGATTGAGAGTTTAGAAAAGTTTTTGCCTGAATTTTCCCAATTTTCAACATTTTTCAGTGCCGCATGGATCCGGAAATCGAGAATTACTTGAATATTCAAGAAATTAACTGATTCGTCAGTGAAGAAATATACCAAAATTTCATGTAACTTTGTCCTTGTGCACTGAATGCGATTTAGGGGGAAAAAAATCCTGAAATTTCAGATTTCCCTGGAAATTCAATGTAATTTGGCACTGAATATTCATATTACATTGGAAACTCAAATAAATTAAGGGATTCTCGTCTTTATGCTGCTTAAAATTCTGGAATTTTACTAAATTTTCAGTGAAACCTGAAATTTCATAATTTTTTTCCCTAAATCGCATTCAGTATCACTGTCCTGAAAATCAGTAGTCAACTGTCCACGAAATTTCATTTTTTTTCCAACAACGTGATTCAAACCCGACGGGAAGAAAATTCAGTAGCGAAGCGGTCAACCGGGTTAAATCGATTTTCACTATTGGCCAGTTTTCGACGAATATCTCGGAATCTAAAAAAGATAGAAAAATTTATGTTACAACCTTTTTTGTAGAGCCAATTGAGGGTTATAAAAAAGGTCGTGAGAAAAATTTTGCTATCTCTCTTAGATTCCGAGATATTCATCAAAAACTGACCAAAAGTCAAAATCGACTTGACCCGGTTCACCGCTTCGCTACTGAATTCAGATGCTCATGATTTTTTATCTAACGTTCCACATATGATTGGTGAAAAAAAAATTGTTCCTTGTCTTCTGAGATTTTTCATATTTTCTCTTCACGGTGTAGACCCAACTAATTGAGTAGCCGTGACAATTTTATTCACATCACGTGAGCTACATCGAATTGGCATCGGCCCCCATGGCGGTCACGAGGACACTCACCCGCGATACAGCGAAATTGTACAAAGCCGGGTGAAAGAAAAACACAAGAAACAAATGTAGCAATTAGCACAGTTGAGGAACGCGTCCAATTAGACGCATAGTTTAATTACGAGTTTCAATAGGTGAGCGGGGGGGGGGGGGGAAGAACAGTGCAGCATAGAGATATGGTAGAAAGTTCCGTGTTGTTCTCCAATGCACCCCTCTATTTTCACTTGTTCTGGACCGACGCCAAGAAGAGGGCCAAGACACACGTTACGAATCTAGCATCGAAGAAGCTTCTCTGTACACTTTCAGACTCACGAGAGAGTCAACTACTTCTGCACTGACGTAACAATTGCCTTCTCGCTCTGTTTACCCAAGAATGAAATCAGTAGTGAAGTGGTCAAACGGTTTAAGTCAATTCCATTCTAGCGCCAGCTCTCGATGAATATCTCAAATTCTAAAGGAGTTAGCAAAATTTTCCTAAAAATCGTTTTTGTAAAGAAAACTGAAGACTATCGAAAAAAATTTTACAAAAATTTCGCTATCGTTCTTAAATTTCGAGTTATTCAACAAAAACGCAACTGGGAGCTAAGTCGGCTTAAATCGATTGACCACTTCACTACTGGAATAACAGGTCTCTTTTTCCAATGTTCATGTCCCTCAAAGGATGCACACTTCATTTTAATTCTCTTTTACTTGCACACTTGCTCTGTTGAAAAAATTTAGCTGAATTTTTCGGCAAATGTCCTTGAATTCGATTTAAGGGGAAAAAGTCAATGGAATTTCAAGTTTCTCTGGAAATTTAGGTCAAATCACAATTTTTTAGAGGCACACTGTTAAAGAGTTCCACTGATATTTTCAGTAAGTCTTGGAAATTTCTCGTGAGTAACATTTCCACTGAAATTTCAAAGACTTTTGTCATTGAAAATTAATAATTTCATGGGAAAATCCGTGGGAACAGTAAATTTCAGTTTAATTATTCCGGGAAAATGAATGAAAAATTAGTAAAATTCATAACTCTCTCTGTAAATTCAAGATTCCTCGGAATTTTTAAGGAATTTCTTGAGAAATTACTGGAATTCCAACATTTCTGAGAGAATTTTAACGGGATTTCCTGAAAATTCAAGGGAATTGTGCAGTGAATATTTATTTTCATTTGAAAATTCATGTAAATTGATGAATTTTGAGAGAAACTTGAAATTCCATTGACTTTTTCCCCTTAAATCGAATTCAAGATTATTTTCTGGAAAATTCTGCCAAATTTTTTTGACAGTGCAGGGTCTACAATTTACATGACTTTTCAAGTCAAAATGACTATTCATGGCCGAATTCTGTTGAATTTTCAAGGAGAATTCCTTTAAAATTCTCGGAATTCCAGGAATTTTGAAAGTATTCTCTGAAAATTCAAAGGACTCTGGCATCTACAGAGAGATTTCTCCGAATTTTCTTGACTTTTCAAAAATTTTCCCGAAATAATTGAACTGAATTTTACAGTTCTCACGCACTGTTCCATAAAATTATGAATTTTCAATGACGAAATTCCTTGAAATTTCCTTGGAAATGTTACTTGCCGGAAATTTCAGTGGAAAATTTTGAATAGTGTGGGCCGATTTGACCCACAATTTTTGTCAAATATCTCAGCATCAATTTCTCCGATGAAACGGATTTTTCTAACACATGATTTTCAACCCCTCACGGACGGGGCCCTTTTGTTTCCAAACGTGGAGTACGCTCGATACAAGTAAAATGTAATGACTTCTAATCAACGGAAAATTATGAAACCGATATGTAATTGAAGCTACAGTATTCCTTTGTTCGTTGCTATTCATTTGGTTGAGTTAAATTCCATAGTTTTGGAAATAATCAATTTTAAAGACAGTCATTCATATTTTCGAGGGTTAATGCATAGCATTGACCCCGTACGTGAGGGGTTAATATATCTCCTGAGAAAATGCCTAGTTATTGAATTCTGCGGCAGCAGGTTTACGAGTAAAATATCAATCTCGAAAAGAGCGTTTTCGACAGAATTTCCTAGGGAATTGAATATTTTGTTCTGTCATTAAGACATTAGAAGAAAACAAATTGTATTTGATGGCTCATGATCTATCACTGGGAGTAGAATCTAAAAGCATATGAGTAACAACAATTTATAAGAAAAAAAAATTAGCGCCGAGTCAATCTGACCCAGTATGCAGACTAGAAGATAATGATACACTCTAAAAAAAAGTTACTACTCACTAGTACTGAATTCTACTTGGGAGAAGTTTTCTTGTGAAAAGTTGGGAAACTACTTGTCCCAAGTACTTTTCATGTCCTAGGGTGAAGTACAATATTTGCTAAGCAAGTAGGAAAAGTACTAGGAGGAAGTACTTTTATTACTTCCTGTCAGTATTTTTCTTACTTCTCACAAGTACCTTTGATGCTTGGAGCAAGTAATTTTTCTACTTCTCGCGAGTACTTTTATGACTTGATTCCAGTACTTTTGGTTGGTTATTTTGTTGAGGAATTTCATATCATTAATTATCATTCTCATTATCATTATCATTCTCAGATGACAATTAACAAATTTCATCAAGGGGAGGTTACGATGAGTTTCAAAATCGCGAGATATTGCAGTAAGATTTATTACACATTGATGATCGATTATTTATATATGTTGAAAGACGAAGAATAAGTGGGGAAAAAAAAGATTAATTCTTGTTGATTTGCCCCCAAGACCTTGAAAATGAAGAAAAATAGCACAGTGTACTCAATTTTTGACCTACGGACGTATTTTTTCTTCAAAATTTTTAAACAGATGTGTAGAATAACAATTACGAGATAATTTTTTTGAATTCGACTTCTAAATAGGCAATTTTATTCTTTGTCGCATAACGAAATTGCAATTTTTATACAAGATAGCTCAAAAGATTAATACTTCAATTTTTTTTTCAATATAAAATATAACAATTATTTTGAGGATCATTTTACTGGCTATTTCGCATGAATATTACATTTTTTGTTATTAAAAAAAGGACTATTTGGAAATTAAATTTGGAAAAATTAATTGGTAATTGTTATTTTACACATCTTTGAAAAATTTTGAAAAAAAAATCTCTGTAGCTCGAGAATTTATTACATTGGACTACATTTCAATTTTCAAGCGTTTGAGGGGCAAATGAACAATAAACAATAATTTTATTTGCATTAATTCTTCGTTTTTCAGCGATCTCTAGTGTATGATAAATTTTACTGTAATATTCCGCGAAAATCCATTAGTACTGGATTTGAGTGCTATTACTACTTGTCTCGAGTATTTTTTCTACTTTTGAGAAGTACAGCTCGGTACTCAGTACACGTACTTTTAGTACTGATGATGAGTACAGTTGGTACTTGTCACCAGTACCAATTGTACTTGGAGCATAAAACTTGTATTCCGTCGATTTTCGACTTGAACCAAGTAAAAAAATTACCTTTTCTCCAGAAACCCCTCGGTACTAAATACAAGTAGTTTTCCTACTTATCAGAAGTAATCTTTTTTTAGAGTGTACGAATAAAAGCAAGTTGGATGCATCGAATGGAAAAAATCACAATCATAAACTCGGTACTCGATTCAAATAGCCACTGTGCAGAAATTTTTGTAACGATGGGAGAATCATTGATTGAGACAAGTCCATGGAATCGAACTAACGATGATAATTGTATGTTCCCAGAGGGACGACGAGCTTCAGAAGGCCGTGAGACTGACCGTGAGAGAAAGAAGATTCATAAAGTTTGCGTCTGTCGAGTACGATGGCCAGCTGTACATGACACCCCAGGATTTCCTCGACAGTGTCGTTGAGTCAGAGCCGAGACGTAAGTATTAAGATAGCAAGAAAATCAGGTTCCCTCTTGAATATAATTATAATATATTATATAAATAATAACTCATAAAGTCCTAAAAATCAGTGTCATGTCCCCGAAAATCTGAATCTTTTTTTCTTTGTGCCGAGTGATATTCTTGATCAGTTATGATCTGGAGAAGTTTGTTCCGTTTTATAAACTTAGAATCTTCATTTACATTCTTTCAATACCCAAGTATGCTACAACTAGACGTCATTGGAATATTCACAGCTCGTCACAAGAGAAGGTGCCTAACGGACAAGGAACTGGAAACGATAACCTACTCTACACCTTCTCTTCGCTACGGGGGAACCCACATGTTTCGCGGTATGAGAGACAAAGGTAAACATGAGTAAACTAATCATCTCCTATCTGAATAACGAGCAATCATTTAGCAATAATACAGTTTTATCAACTGTGAAATAAATAACAATTCTGTCAGTTTCTCCCAATCATCTAGTAGGACTGCAAAATCACAATCATTCTTCCCATGCGTCAAATCAGTACTAAAATTATCCATTTATAGCCATCGTAACGCATGCTTCGTGATGAAAACTGACCTGCAATTTTTTGAATCGTCAGTAAACCTGACCGTCAATTCTACTTTCCGCCGTTTCTTTCCATTTTCTGTCATGCAATTATTTAATTAATTTGAAGTGGGGGGACGCGCGATTTTTATAATTTTGAAAATTATAAAAATCTCTTCCATTGGATGAAAAAAATTTGAGGCTCATTTTTAGAGTACATGTGCATAAAGTTTGTCTCAGTACACCTGCAACGTACTATAAAAGTATGGCATATTAATTCGAATACTATACCCGATATTTCTTATGCAGATGAATGAAATCCAGACAACATGAGTGTCATGAATTTCTTACAGTCCCGCATGAATTTTCACGTACATGTACCGAATGCGTGTAATTGTTCTCCAATGGTACATTAATTTCAAGTCCCTATATATAATTGATATTAAGAAAACTGATCGAAAAAAAACATGAACCACAGCTCCGCTGTCTCTTCTCATCCTTTAGGGTATGTTAAGTAACCGCACTCATGATTATTTATCTTAATACTATTTGAAAAAATGGAATCCTAATTATCTACCTAACCGGGACGCGAAGCCACTCAAAATTAGAGTTATTTTTTACAATGTGCTAACCAAATACTCTAAAATTTCAAAATCTATACGCAATTCCTTTTGGAGCATTTCAAAGTGTACCATTTAAAAATGTAGAAAGGTAATTATTTCAATTTAGAAGAGTTACTAACGAACCATTGGGAAACCTTCTGTAGACTTTTTTGTCATTTTACTGTAAAACAGTGAACCATCTTGTGTTTTTGGATATTCTGCTAAGAAAATATTGTGGTGGTGTTAAAGTATATCCACAAACAGACACCCCTCCCCCCTAGTCCTGTGACGTGACATTTGAATGCCTCCATAAATAGGTAAAAGGTATTTCACTGATGCCCCGAAATATAAAAGATCTACTACACCTGAAGCAGTCCTCCTCCCCTTGGGCTTTTTATTAACTCCGGAGTTATTGACACTTGATCGACGATTGCATTGAAATATCTGAACCGTGAAGGAACTTGTTAGTCCCATGCTTGTGAGCGTTATTATCGAAAATCTCATTCTGCACTACTCACCAGATCCTCGACGAGTGAAATCCTCAGGATTATGACGAAAAACCTACCTGTGAAATTACGACTGCCTCTGCAATACATTAGGATTCCAGTCGCTGCTTACACTCAACCTTTTGGTTTACGATGAAGTCTCTTACATCTCTTATGGCCAGCCCATAATTCTTCAAATTCTTCATGATTGGAACCTGATGTACTCGCGCAACGAGTTTCCCATTTATGGCTGTATTCTTCAACGTGCCAAGTACTTCATGCAGGCCACTTGGAAATGAGACATTCGTGCGGGCACGCGACGTCCGGGAAAGTGATTGATCGCCACGGAACCGTGAAGAACGCCGGCAGGCATGAAGGCGAACTGAATGTCAAGGGTTCATGCAGGTGGTTGGTTAAAAGACGTTGATATCATACTCAGAAAATTTCTTCTCGTGTATCACGATCACTTCACCTTCTGAGAAACAAAAAATGATAATGAGTTAGAATTTCACGCTATTTGGAGTATTAGATTTATAACCTAGGGAGGTAAAATAAAGGAGTCGTTCCCACGTGCGGAATTATGGAATTACGGAAACATGGTAAACACGTGGGTAAGGCTCCTTTACTTGACCTCCCGTAGTTAGAACCGCAATTTTCGCCTCGACACGAAGTGGAAGAGAAAATTGCAAAAAGTAAACGAAAAGACTCTTCATCACGCTGTGACGAAAAGTGAACTTTTCGGCACGGTCCGCGTGCCTAAAAGTCCAATTTCCGCCACATTGTGATGAAAAATATTGTTCGTAACTCGTGAAAAAATGTTTTTTAGCTCGTGGGATTATATCACTCGCCTTCCGCTCGTGATATAAACCTCCCACTCGCCAAAAAACACTTTTTTGCACTCGTTACGAAATATACTATTTCGTTTACTTTTTGTTTACGAGTAAACGAGGAGGCACTTTTCGGCACAAGGTGAACGTAGCAGCAGTGTTAAAAATATTCAGGGTGTCCCATTTGAAACAGTACGGCTTAATATTTTTTTTTCTTTTCGTATACCCTTTTGAGTCTTTACGATTTGTCCCCTTCCCACCCCCTAACCCCCTGTACCGCATTCGCCGAAGGACAAGGGAATACTCATTTGAGGGAAAAACCTGCACAGGTACAGTCGTCTCTTGCGAGACTCCCGCTCGACAAATGAAATCGTGAGATTTAGAGTGTCACAAATTTTGGCCGTCCCAGCCGAGAAGTGAACCCGGGTCTACCGCGTGCCAATCCCATACTCTAACCACACAACCACCGCGGCCATGTAATAGTATATTTCGTTACGAGTGCGGAGAAGAGTATTTGCCTCGCCTTCGGCTCGTGCTATAAACCTCCCACGAGCCAAAAAACACTTTTCCCACGAGTATCGAACGATATTTTTCATCACAATGTGTGGAAAAGAGACGTTTGAAAAAGTTACTTTTTCGCATAGCGTGATGAAAATATCTTTATTCAGACCTTCTTGCCGCACAGAAACGCTGGAATGTTATTTATTTACTATCTCATCAATGTACCATGTAAACAAAAGATGACTGAGGTAGGTAAGGGACGTTGTATATAAAATAGAAAATTTTTTTTCTCTCGTATACCCTTTCGGGTCTTTACGATTTGTTCCCTTCCCATCACCAACTGTATCGCATTCGCCGAAGGACAAGGGAAAACCTCAGTTGAGGGAAAAATCAAATTTTGGCCCTCCCAACCGGGAATCGAACCCGGGTCTACCGTGTACCAATCCCACACTCTAACTACACAGCCACCGTCGTCGGTAAACCGAAATTATAGACTCATAAAAAATTGCAGTGAATAAATAATATATAATAAATTGAAAACCCCCGATGAAGTTGTTGAACAGGTGATTCAACCCATAAGAGCGAGTAAAGCTTCGCTTTACGCACTCGAAGAAAACCTTACGCACGACCCTGAACTTTACGTGGGTAAGAGTTCTTTATTTTACCTCCCGTGGTTAGAACCGTATTTTTCTCCGCTTCGCGGGAGGAAAATCTACCTTTGCACCCGCCGGGGCGAAAAAATACTTTTCAATTCATTTTTGACATAGTTATGTGAGAACAATGTGTTATGAAAATCAGGCTAGGTGGAGGTGACACCGAGGTATCCCAATTTTCCTAAACTCTCAAATTATAATTGATTGTTTTTCTCATTACGAAAAATAAATTTCGAACTGGAAGATTTTTTTCAATCAACTTATCTCATTCGATCACCTTATTACTGTTGAATTCAAGCCGTAAAAGTTCAACAAATACCTGATACCTCATACCTTGCAATTAAAGATGACTGTGCAAAAACGTTCATTACCAATTATTACTATTACCCACCTCATGTGAAACTTCTTATTCATTAAGAATGAGTTTCATGAACTGTTCCACGGGATTTGATGATCAAATTATTTATAACCATAATATAAAATTCCCTCTCCATACAAAAAATTTGAAAATTATGAACTTGTTTAATGGCTGGTATATATGTAAAACTGGTGATAGCTATATATTCTGAAATTTTACTCATTTCTTTATGTTCCAGGGATAGTCTCATACACGGAGTACCTGTTTTTGCTGTCCATACTCACAAGTGAGTCTTCTACGCTGATCACGCTACTAATTTCCAGTGCAAATTACCTACGCTGAGCAAACTCCTAGAACAAGTTATGGCCTTCCTCCCCGATCCGTAAATCCTTGCACCGACGCTTACACCCAGAGAAGCAGACGGGTGGCTTCACCAAACGCTGCAACACTCTTGTGCTCTCGTTCTGTTCCACTTCTGCAATTTTTCTTCTCTCAACTATCTGATTCCGGGCCATTCTCATATTCATTAACTCATTCCATAAATTCTATAATAGCATAAACTTTCATTCGCAAATTGCCCTACCATTAATGTTCAGATTTGCTGAGGTTTATAATATGATTGCAGAACCACAAACTGGCTTCCGAATCGCATTCAACATGTTTGATACTGATGGTAACGAGAGAGTGGACAAGAACGAGTTCCTTGTGGTAAGATTAGATATTTTGGATGATGAGCATTCATTAACATTGCTTGAAATTAAGTCTCAGATACTTGGAAATTTTCTATGTAGATTCAATCTCGTAGAGAAACGATATTACTGAAATGAATGCAATAAACGCAAGACGTTCTCAATAAGTCGCTCCATGGTGCTGTTCCTTGACTGTTTTATTCACAAAACGCAACTGAAGTGGAAGATAAATAATGTGAAAAAAGAATTCGATTCAATCAATAGATGATCCGTTAGTTTGAAATAGTGTAGTAGTGGAAATAGTGTATTGTGCACCAAGTGCGGAAAGTCATGTTTTTCTCGGCCGAGGTGGACGTACTATTTTTTTACACACTGAGAGAAAAATCGACATCATCTCTCTATATAATAAAAAAAATTAGGAGGGTTAAAAATTCAGGAGATGCCCCTGATTCTGAGCCGTATCTGTGACCCTGATGATGCCATTGAAAATGATTTCACTGTTAGAAAATTACTCTTGAAATTTCAAGTGAGAAAGCTTGAAATTTTTAACAACGACAAAAGTACATGAAATTTCTGTAGAATTCTTCATTGACGAATCAGTTAATTTCTTGAATATTCAAGTAATTCTCGATTGTCAGGTCCTATGGCACAGAAAAACCTTGAAAATTTTGAAAATTCAGCCAATAACTTCTCTGAATTTTGAATCTATTGAAAATTGAATTGTATGTGATGTTCAATTGTCACGATGAGTTTGAAAATTCAAGCTTTCATTGGAAAATCAATGATTCTTTATCATGAAAAATCCAATTTTCTTGAATTTTCAAGATGAGTGAGAAATTTAGTAAACGTTTTCATTTGAAATTGAATTCAAACTCACAACATTGAAAATTCAAATGACATTGTGGCTGGTATTTCAAGAAATTTCTAACAGTGTTCTTATCTCTATCTCTCTAATATGTTCATATTTCTATAGATTCATATGGGAGTCATATACAGGTCACATTTTTGAAAAATAACGAGTATACCTTATACTATTCTACATAAATAAATGGAAAAATGAACGATCGAGTCTCACGACAAAAGGCGTTGGTTGGTAAATAAATCGTTAATTTCGTAAATAATAAAAATCCCAATTTTCAAAGGAGGTGAATCATTCTATCATTTTTTTTCTATATAACACGAACACTTGAATATACCCAAGAAGATTGGGGGAGAGCGAGCGAAGCGAGCGAGGGGGCCGAATCCCCCTGGGTTTGGCAAGCGAAGCGAGCAGGGGGCGAAGCCCCCTAGTATGACAAAAATAATTTCTTGAGTGGAGAATATCGCATGCATATTCTGTTAATCCATGGTAGGTTGTAGGCAAGAAAGCGCTGCTGTTCCGCCTAAAGGAGGATGGTACTGAATGAAAAAATGATATTTGTTTTGGAAATAGATACTATTCCTGAAGAGACAAAGTATGTTTGAGAGAAAGAAAAGATGTAATCGCTCTCCTTTAAACTCATTGCGATTGAGAGCCAGTGACGGTGATATTTTAGAACTATCTGAAGGTTCTCTCCTGTACAAACTCTGTATTCATTTAATATGAAAGTCTCTGATCCGTGATTCACTGAATCGGAGCTTTTACTATTTTCAGTATAATTTTCTCATCTTTTGACACGAAATTAACGATTTCTTGAGGTAAGTGTTCGTATTCAAGTTATGAACATTTCACAGGATTCTTACACAGTCTGATCCTTAAGAGATATTTGGCGCAAGAAATTGGGTTTGTGATATTATGTCAATATTTCTCTCAGTGCACGCTTGCACAGGAAAGTTTGTATTTTGCTTTCTGATGAGCGGGAAGGAAGCAGTTGTTGACTTATGTGGATAAAACCTTGGAATTCTTCGGATCCATGATCAATCGCATGCAATGCAATCCACCCCTAAAAAATGCAGCCACGATCGAAGCGATAGCAGTAAACGACGAACAACCGACTTCAAATAAATATATATTTAAATCGACTTCAAATAAATATTATTTGAAATAAATTTTAAATAAATATTATTTGAAATAAATTTGAAATAATACATGACGGAATGTCGTTGCCGTCAATGTAGCGTGTAATACAGCGCTCTAGTCACCCAAAATATGCTAGTAAAAAATAATTCTTGAACTTAATTCTCTTACAACATCAGTTGCACATTGCTAATCTTTTTACTTGTACGTGGAATAGAATTTTTTGAAGAGTGCAGTTGACGATGCAGCGTTCAATAACTTTTTTCCACAGCTTTGAACAGTGAAAATTCATAAATCTGTTCGTTATCAATAACCCTTAAATTATTAAGTTTGAATTTTTAGGTGATAATCTCTCAGTCTTAATGAAGAAATATCTAAATATTTCTCAATTAATATCTAAATTATAACATAAAACTATAATTATATTCTGTTTGGTTACCCATCATGCGAAGGTGAAACAAATTTATAACACTTCGAAAAAAATTCCTGATGCTAAAAAATCATCAAAATTATCCCATAATCACGATTTGAATTTATAGACATCATAAATTCATGTTTGCATGAAAAAAAATTTTCTCCACAGATAAGAAAGCTGTTTGCTCGTGGACTGAAGGATCGTGAGCTTGATGCTGCTACGAGGCGAGCCGTGAGTTCAAGACGACAAAAAGTCGAAGCTTCATCGAGCGACAATTGAGAAGATGAAGCTACACAGCAGAACTGGATTTTCGCTTATTTCCTCCATTCTCCATTCACGGATTTATTGCCATCCTCCTCATATATTCGAGCTAATACTGACACCAGATTGTACCCTCATACTTAATCAGCTGGCTGTGTGTTTATGTGCGTTTCATGTAACATTTTATCGTTAAATTCCTAACATGATGTAGAGACGTTGACGAGAGGAAATGATGAAATTTCAATTCAATAGAGAATTTCACTTGAAATATAGTAGATTTCAGCATTAGGTCGCCAAAATATTTCCTGACGAATGTAGTTTATAGTCCGAGCCAAAGGCGAGGACCTGGGTTGGGCGAGTAAAATATCGCTGGTAATCTACCTAGTTTTCGACATATAAAAAAAAAGTAATTTGAAGGAGAGATTTTAGACTTTTACACCTCGGCAAGCGGAAAGTACACATTTTCCTCGGAGGAAAATCTGACTTTACGCCAACGTCGACACGAAAAATACAGTTCTAACCACAGGAGGTAAAATAAAGGAGTCGTGCCCACGTGTGGAATCACGGTAAGCACGTGGGTGGCTCTTGTATTTTACCTCCCCAGGTTAGAAATATACTGTTTCGACTGCAGGAGAGAACTGCCTGACGTATGATTACAGAACTCGCTTTCGACTCGCCCTATAACCACATATTCGCCAGAAAAAGTTCCTCACAGCCTAGTGTCAAAATTAACTATTTTGTCACTCCGCGTGATCTTCTCATCATTCATTGGAATTAAAAAAGACGTATCTTATATTTCCCGTCCAATCTGTCTATTCAACAAACAAATAATCCCATCCACAACGCTAATTACTGGAACATTTCCGGAAAGCTTGCAGACCAATGCAAGCGTCAAGTTTTGCAGCTTACGTAAAAATTCCCAGTGTACAACACGAGGAATTTTCCTGTAAAACTTGACAAACTGGTTTCCGTCCAAGGAAACTTGCGAAATATTCGACAGTATTTTCTATCACGTGATATCATTTTATATCACGTGACATTAAATACCGTGATTCCATTGGTTTGAACCGTGACGGAAAAATAATCCATAAAATTTCAATGTACCGCCAATTTGATACAGATTTTAGTACAGTACAGTCCTCCATATCGGGGAAATTCATTCGAAAGAATGAATTAAATTTATTGAACAATCTTACGATAGTCCAGACAGACGCAAAACATCTCCGACAAAAAGCTTCACTGCACTTGATCATGAAATCACATCTAGTTGACGATATGCCATGTAATGAATCATTTTGCACGCGCATCATACCGTTAATAATGCCCTGCGCTACTTACTACGTTGCCAGTGATCGAGATAAAAGGCGGACAAGGCGTCGCGCGCAGAGACGTGTCTTCCAAAGAACCTAACTCACCTGAGGCATTTCCGCCGTGGCTAGGTCTTATAGACACATTTTCCACTTCTCCCTTTTTCTGAAAGATGTTTTCGAACTATACGCACAGATGACTGACCGCCGTGTGTGAAGATAACTCTTACGTCGGTTTCTTCAAACGATTTTTCATAGTTTCGCTTGAGAAAATGTAACGCCGTAATAAAACGTTACATAGCTTCCTTCTTTTATGTTTTACTCTTCATTTTGATGGCTTATGGCCCCCCTACCTTCTGTCTGACGCTTTGTTACCTTTGATTCAGTTTCTTTGTCGTTGATTTTTTTTCCCTTCAATCTTGATTCTGAGACGTTTACTTTCTTTTATGCAATTAGTTGCGAACTCTTGTTGCACCGAGTGAGGAGGCCCTCGCCGTCAGAGCAAAACTTCGAGACAGTCATCAAACAGAATCGCCCCCATCCTACTCAAATTCTTACGTAAGTTCATTTACCGCTGGGAGTCTACCCTGGCGTCTTCCAGATGCGTTTCTCCTCTATTTTCAGATCTTCTGCTGGATCTCTAATGCTAAATATCTGTTTACTAATTGATATCCTTTGAATTTCGTATAGGAAGATAGCTCCTCAGTTCCTACTAACTTGATGATTCACGAGTGATGATTTCTCGTATTGTGAATTACGTGGGAAGACTGATTTCAAATGACTTTTCATTCGCAGATGGAGAATATCTTCAGTCACGCATGGAGAGGGCGTCATGGTGGTGTCCCATTCCAGATTACTGAAGGCAAGAGGGCTAGAAACTACGAGAATATGCTGGGAGAGGAGGATCAGGTGAATGAGTGCTTATGGAAGTTTTCTCATATCGTTTTTGACGTGGATACGTCTATGGTTTCAATATGGGGGGTCATTTTGGGAAACGGTCTTTATGTGCAGCGCCATCTAAACATTTCGAGGTAATTCGAAAGGTTTCTAGAAATTTCGAGAGAATTCAAGGAGTTTCCAGAAAATTGGAGGGAATGCAAGGAGTTTTTAGGAAATTTGAGAAAGAAGGAAAGACCAAGCGGACGCATCCACGTACAATTACAGCTGTATCGAAGATACAGCCACCTGCAATTTTCTTTGAATCATTTTTTTTTCTTCTCGTATACCCTTTCGGGTCTTTACGATTTGTTCCCTTCCCACCCCCCTCAACCCCCTGTACCGTGTTTGCCGAAGGGAGAGAAAACCTCATTCGAGGGAAAAACCTGCCCTGGTACAGTCGTCCTTTTTGACGGGACTACCGCTCGGCAGTGAAACTGTGAGATTAGAGCGCTATAAATTTTGACCGCCGGTGCCGGGAAGCGAACTCGGATCATTGGCATACGAGTCTAGCACTCTAACCGCACGGCCACTACCGTCGATAATTTTCTTTGAATCATTTAGAATCAATATTCTTGTGGGGCTTGTTTAGGGATTACAACGTCGAAATACTGTGGATACAACTCTGATGGTACATTTTTTCGGCAAGGATGGAACGAAGGAGCTGAAATACGAAGGATTCCGACAGTTCATGGAGAATCTTCAGCATGAGGTCTTGGAGCTGGAGTTCAGCGAGTTCAGCAAGGGTCAAGACACCATTACTGAGCTCGATTTTGCAAAGATTCTTCTGAGATACACGTACCTGGATATGGATGAGTCAGTTTGATTTTTCGCTTCCTTAGGAGATAGATTAATTGTTTAATTAAGGGATGAAGTATTTTCAGTGAAGTGAGAGTCAATAAGAATCGGAAGGAATTCCACACGGAGAGAAAAGTTGGGCAAAAATTACCTCGAAAATCGTGACAAATTTTACTATACGAGTGGTAATCGTGAAGCGAAATGTAATTTAGTGAAAAAATACTGGTTTTTAGTGGATATCTTGGGATTATCTCGGTAAAAAATTACATCTTTGAAAGCAAAAATTATCGACCTGTTTAGTAAAATTTCCCACACCGGCAGGGGATTGTTTGTTTTGTACCCGTTTGAAGGTCATGGGGGTGCCAAACGGGTTCGGTAAAGATCATTCTACGTAACAGAAAAATTATACGAAAAATTGGCGCAATTATTCACGTTCACTGGGATAATTTTTGATAGGATGCGGAGTAAATTTTACAGTTTCGGTAGAAATCACTCACGTTTAGCAAATTTTCTCGGGCCAACGGAGTAAAATTCACTATTAATCTCGCACTTTTTCACCTCTTTCAGGTGAAAAAGTACCGGAGATCGAGGTTGTTCCAAGATTGTTTGATTTGTAATTTTTCTCCAACTTTTTCTCCGTCCACTACACTTTAAAACATGTTTGTATGAAATTTCCGTTACACTTTTCGGTAATTTATATCGAATTTAATTACCACTGAAATTTCAAGGAATTTCGTCATTGAAAATTTAGAGTTTCGTGGAATAATCAAAGAAAACTGGAAATTTCAATTCCATTTTTCTCTGAACATGAATAGGAAACCAGAAAATAACGGTAACTATATTCTTGAATTTTCAGGGCAGGACATTTTCAGTCAACTGTCCACGAAACTTCATTTTTTTTCTAACACATGGAAAAAAACATCACAAATCTGTTTCAAAAACAGCGACCATGCAACTAATGGCTGTATTTTCGGAAAAAAATTAGGAACCAAGGTGTCTCATAAGGAAAGATGGGCAATAATATCATTTTTTTAAAAATATTTCATTCGCCGAGTTGATAAAGTACGTTGTTGACGAGTGTGAGGTTTACAACCCGACCCAAAGACAAGGGTTGTAATCACACTTGTCAAAAATGTCATTTACCACGAGTTATGTAATAGTATTTTACCTAATGAGTTGATAAATGACGTTTACAACCTTTCACTCACCGTGAGAAATTGTAAAATTTTTTGTCGCACAACGTCGGTAAACGAACAATTTACACACACGGAGTGAGTCTGATTGCACCTGTCTCGTAAGCAAAGATCGGCAATAATATTATTTTTAATAATATTTTACCTAACGAGTTGGTAAATTACGTTCTCGTCCTGTGGGATGGGGAGCTTTACAATCCGAGCCAGAAACGAGGGTTGTAATCACGCTCGTCAAAAACGTCATTTACCACGAGTTATGTAATAGTATTTTACCTAACGAGTTGGTAAATGACGTCTTGAAGAGTGTGATTACAACCCTCGCTTTTGGCGCGGGTTGTAAACCTCACACTCACCATGAGTTATGTACGCTTTGACGAGTGTGGTTATAACCCTTGTCTCCTGCTCGGATTATAAACTCATATTTGTCAGAAGATACTTTGTGGACCGAATGGTGAAATCTACTATTGCCGCACATAGTCCAAAAACACGTTCAGACATTTCTTTTTGCCTAATGACGAAACATACTATTTTGTGGTACCGTTTCTAAAAGTGGAATTTTCGAAACGGTTTAGTGTGCGTAAAACTGTTGTTTTCCGCACGGCGTGCGTAAGGTTTAAGAGCGTGCGTAAATCTTCGCTTCACGCACTCAAAATTCACTCTCTGTCACTCAGGAAAGCTTCGTTTCACGCACGCTGCGCGTGCTAAAAAGCCGCTCACGGACATCGCGACATTAGTATATTGTGTTACTAGTGCGCAAAGTTTCACTTTTTCACACGCATGTGTAACACATCCTTTTTTCACTTGTGAGTAAAGTGACATTTTACACACTCTCCGCGTGCTCAAAATCCCGCTTTCCACATATAGTGATGAGAAATAGTGTTTGACACTCGTGGAAAAATGTTCTCAAGGTCGTGGGTAAAACTTCGCTTTACGCACTCGAAATTTACTTTACGCTTGATATCTGAACTTTACGCATGCCGTGCAACAAACGAACTCTTTGCGCCCGTTAAATCGCCCCAAAAAGTAAACTGTTCAGACAGGTATTACAAAAATATAATTTTACGCACTCGTAACACAATATACTATTTCATAACATTATAAATGAGTAATTGAGAAAAAAAATTTGTTGTTTGCTAAACAATCAATAATTATTCGTGGAGCCTTTCCACTAATTTAATAATGCATAATAATGATTGATATATTTTCCATTGAACTGCGACCGATGAATATTTGAATTTAAAAAATGGAAAAATGTTATTTATAGTTTTAATGATTAATTTTCTACAGTGACAATTTAATCGATGTTGGGAACTTATTTCTCCACTATCCCTATGAACTTCTGGCTTATATCTATTGGAGATGAATACCACTATCAATTATTAATTACATTATTTTATATTCTCGCGATCCATTTTTTTCAGGTATGATAAATATTTGGAGAGGCTTCTTGATCGCTCGGTGTACAGCATTGACATTACCTTCGAAGAATTTCGAAAATTCTATCAATTCTTGAATAGTTTAGATGACTTTTCAATTGCTATGAGGATGTACACGCTAGCAAATCATCCAATATCTAAAGGTAATAGTGGATAACTTTAATTAAACCAAATACTGAGACCTTATGTTTATTCTCTATAGCTGATTGCGCTAAAAATTGGTCCGGTGCAAATTTTTCGTTTTGTGGTATCTTCTCACATCAACACCGTAGTAACAAATTCACGTAACAACCAACTTTTCTTTGTTTCTCAAAATTAGTAGGAAAAGAGGACATGTCCATTTTCCTTTCAAATTTGCATGTTCCATTGTATTCTCAAGTGATTCGGCATATCATTAAAAATTGGAAACTGAAAATCTCCGAATTAGGGGCAGTTTGACGTAGCAGCAATGACAAAATATTTTTTTTTTGCCTAATGACGAAATGTACTATTGTCGAAATAGTATATTTCAAGGCGAGTGCCATGGGGTTTTTTTACTCGCGTGGAGTTGGGGAACCCCGCGAGTAAAAACCCCATGGCACTAGCCGTGAACGATATTTTTCCGGTGATTTTCACTTTTACGAGTTTGGGAAAGGGCCAATACCCAATACCAATCCACGGGCGAGGAAAAGTGAAGATCAGTACGGAAAAACATTTCGCTCCGCGATCACCTTTCGTACATTAACACTCTGTTGGCCGCGCAAAAGTTACGAACGCCGTTAGTCGCGCCGTAAGCGCCGCGCCAGCATAAATCGACATACTGATAACTTTGAAAGATCTAGGAAAAATCTGAAAAAAATCAAGAGTGATCTAGATCGTATACTTGAAGAAGTCCCGTGGGATTTTTTATGTTCAGTGTTACCCTTAATTATACATTCAAGCTCAAAGTTGCCATGCACGGAAAGAAATATCAATAAAAATTACGTATTTTTTCCGTAATTCAGAAGTGAAATGTGGTTGTAGGAAATTTTACGGAACTATAGCGGAATTTTTCCAGAGCGTTCCGTAATTTGTATCTAAATCTCTTATGAAAAATTACGATACCGTCACTTAAATTTTTTGAGCCGATTCCGTAAGCAGTGAGCGAATTGTGAGTGCCGTAATTTTTACTGAACATTTCTCTCTATGTGTTTTTATGAAAGTTCGCCTCATACACGGTACACGGCCCGGAATTTCGGAATAACAATTTGAAAATCCAAATACTTATGACATTTTTGGCGGATATTTTCATTGATAGGGCTTCTAGACACTTCCGAACGAGATGTTAAATTTTTTCAAATTTTTCTGAGGCTTTACTGCAGTGTAATTTAAAAAATCGCGAAAAGTGCGGCGCAACACTTCAATCAATCAATTTCAACGCTCATAGCGCAACCAACGGAGTACTAAAATTTGCCCAGATTTTCACTTAATACAATTCAAGATCCGACACTTTGGCGTCCGGTGAAAAAAATTTTTTTTCATTTTTCACTTTTTCCAGATACTTTTGATAGTTCTGAATAGCCCATCGCTTAAATAGTTGGAATCAACGTTCACCCGGCTAAGAAATTCGATTTTGGCGAAAATCCACCTGCCCCGGAAAACCCGAAAATCTGACATTTTGGCTGGGGCCAAAAAAAACGGTTTCTCAGTTTTCACTTTTTCCACATACTTTTGACAGTTCTGACAAGCCCGGCGCTTAAATAGTTGGAATCAACGTTCACCCGGCTAAAAAATTCGATTTTGGCGAAAAACGACCTTCCCCGGGAAAAACCGAAAATCTGACCCTTTGAAAATTTGAAAAAAAAAACTTTTTCAGTTTTCACTTTTTTCACATACTTTTGAGAGTTCTGAATAGCCCGTCGCTCAAATAGTTGGAATCAACGCTCACCCAGCTAAAAAATTCGATTTTGGCGAAAGTCGACTTTCCCTCTGCAAAAACAGAAAATCTGACTCTTTGGCTCGGGGTGAAAAAATAAATTTTATTTTGACTTTTGTCGCGCCTTCGGGGGTTTCATTGGCATCAGAATTGTTAGAAAATACAGAATCAACTTTCACTTGGCGAAAAAATTCAATTTTGGCGAAAATCGACTTT